CGCGACCATAAAAAAACAAAATCAAATACACAAACCTTCTCCCCTCTTCTAAAAAAGAAAAAAAAAAATACTAGGGGGGGGGGGGGGGGGGGGGGGGGGGGTATACCCCCTCCCCTTAAACGATTTATCATCATTTGAATTCTCAGCTTTAGAAAAACCACTGTTTATGATAGTATACTATTATGGAATCAAATTCTTCTGATAACTTTTTTTTTTCATTACACGGTTTTTCCTGCTAATCCGCATGTGTACTGATCGATTTACACTTGTAATGTCAGAAAATAAAAATAGATGAAAGTTGGTGGAGGAAGTCACTGAGACTAGCATCTGTAAAAAATACTTTTCTCTTATAGTTGCTGTTACTTTACCTGAACCATTTGGTTCAATCTCTTTCTGCGAAAAACATTGAAAGAATTATTGCAGAGAACATATAGAAATAGAGTTAGACTAGTGCAACACTACGGTTTTGTTCTAATACAAACTTTTCTCTCAATCACGAATGTGATGTTTTCCAAAGCCAATGTGCAACAACAGATCATGAAAAAATTATAACGAATTGCCATAATAGATATTGTAGTTTGTGTTTTTTTTATAAAGATGTATTTTATGGAAATGTAATCCCAAGAGTAAAAATTAGCACTTGAACCACTTTCTTTGTATCACAAGAGTGAAAAATATGACGTACAAAGTGTCACTCTCTTCTTCTACAATGACTTGAATTCTTCTTGATGTAATATTCTCTGCTCTCATCGGTCACCATCTCTCTCTGTTCCTCTTTTTACTTTTTCTTTTTCTGTTCTTCGACTTTCATATATTCTTTCAGCTGTATTCTTCTCTTTTCTTTTATTGTAACCTTTTTATTCTGTCGTAGCAAATGTTCTACTGCATGTGTGCTTTAATTGCACGCATATTATCTGTTAACACAAAAAGCTGCGTATGCTTATCACTTTCTCTTTGTATGTCCTTCTGCGTATAAAAATAAATCGAGCAAGCTCGAAAAAAGATGGATATAATCTATGTAACGTTCTTTCTTTCTCTCCATGACATAAAAACGCAGCTCTTATTCCTTTCATTCTTTCTATTCTCTCCTACACACAGAATATAAGCCTTTTTCTTCTTTCGCAAGAACAAAATAGAATTTCGACATCCTTTTACAAAGTAACTATAAAAAGACATTAGTTCTAGTTATTTTACATACGTGTACTATGGCAACAATCATTAAACAGAAGCCTATTACTATCAAATGTTCAAACCCATCGACAAACGTTGAAAGTATAGCATGCATGGCAGTTGAATCAAATGCAAAACAATTTCCTGTCAATATGATCTGGATCTATTCGAATAGTGCAAATTTGTCAAAAGACGATTTTATGCCATCTGATAAACTACAAACTACTCTATCGGATACTCTCAATTATTTTCCTATACTAGCTGGTCGTGCTACAGAAGATACAAAAGGCAATGTCACCATTAATTTGACAAACGAAGGTGTTCTCTATACCGAAGCTGAATGTCCGAATCATACCTTGGACTATTTCATACCACAAACATTCCTAGACGAAGGATTTGATTATGAACATATCAATACGAGTGATTTAGCTGTAAGAGTAAAAAATGATTGCACAGGGCCTTGCATGTGTATACAAGCGACGCGTCTCAAGTGTAATAGCGTTATTCTAAGCATATCTGCTTCTCATTGTTTAACGGATGCACATAGTATGTCGCATTTTATCAATGCATGGGCTTCTGGTAAACCACCACAATCGATGCCAATATTCGACAAAACTTTTATCTTATATCCTACTGAACAACAACGACAACAGATAAGTTCTTTGGCTCGACCAAAGGACTGTGTTTTCAATCGAAATATCATTTCATTATCTAGCGCACCATTTATTCAAGTACAACAACAGCGTGTGATTTCAAAAGTTTATTTTTTCTCTGCCAACGAACTGAATAATATTAAAAAAGAAGCATCAAAAGACATATCAAAATCAGTTGATTACATCAGCACTTACGACGCTCTTTATGCTCATATGATTTTAGTAATTGCAGCAGCCACTCAAACCTCATTAATAGATAAAATTAAAGTTCTACAATCACTCAACGGTCGACCAAGTTTCGTTTCTTGTTGTTCACCAGTCGTTCTCAGCTACTTTGGTTCATTTCCGTTTTGGCTCTATGCTGAAATACCATCAGATCGAGAGCCAACTCTTTCATCATTAGCACAGTTGATTCATGAAATGTATTCAAAACAATCGGAACATTCGTTGAGAGAATATAATGCTTATTTAATGAGTAGCGATGGTGATATTAACAAAAATCGAGTAGATGCCGATATAATTAATCGTGACTTTCATTGTGCATCATGGCGAAAAGGAAATCTGTTAGATGCTAATTTTGGTAATAGTGGATTTCCTATCTACAGTGGACCAACTGATCATTTCTATCCACGATATTTTCCAATGATGGATACACATGCAAGAGATGGATCGGTTAATATTGTATTAGGAATGAGAGAACAAGATTATGAACGAATGATACAACAAAATATGCTACATAAATATCAATAATTTTTTATGAAGATATTCTAAATAGGTTTGTTTGCTCGATGATTGATTGTTAAATTAAAAACTCATTTAAAAATAAACGATTTAGTTAGATTCAAGCTCGACATTCCTATGTGTCATCATGATGAGGAGGTGACGATGATAAGAAAATATAGCAAGGGTATAGGGATGAAGGTTGTGATGGTAAAAATTTGAGTGTGCACAAAATACTTAGAGTAGAGAAAACAGCAAAACTAATTAGACATATGAAAAAGTAAACAGTTTGAACAGATGGTTATATAGTTTGAAGAAACTATTTGAGACGCCGCGCTTATTAACTTCATTATTTATTACAATATTCTGTTTTTGTATTAAAACTATACCAATAAATAAAAATGAATAAAAACTTGAAAGTAGAACAAAAACAATTTAATTTATTCTACTTTCCCCTATATTCTTCTCTGTTGTACACAAACATTTATTTCATTAAATCTGTTATTCATTCATTCACTTATATATTTATTTGTTCATTTATTGATTTATTTCAGTAGCCATTCATTGATTCATTTTTTCCAATAAAAATTAAAATTACATTAAAAAATCCGAATAAAAAGTATTTACTTTTTATTAGTTAGTGTGCTTGTATTTCTTTTTATTTTATGTTCAGGTGAATTATATTCATCATTGATTCGCTTTAATGTTATCCTCCATATCCTGTAATAATTATTTTACGTGATTTTAGATTCAAAATTGTCAAGATAATCTGTCTATCGGTTGTAAATGAAAGACAACCTTCTATACGATGTTGTTAAAAATACAGCTAAGGAAGAAAAAGAATGATAAAATGCTCGAGTAAATGATCATTGAAACTCAAATTTTTGCATTTTAACATTCCTTCACAAAAGTTATCTTAGACGACCATTTGGTCCGATCTCGATAATAATAAAAACTCATTAAATGATCTCTGCATGTAGAATGCAATTAGAGTATTTCTTGCGTTGAAATTTCTAAAGAAAAAAAGTCAGAATTTTATGAGGAACATATTGTCATTATTATTTATCATCCTTTGTACAGTATTGCTTGGTAACAATCAGTTGTTACATGCCTTCTTTTTTTTTCTTATTCCCTTTTCTGAAAGAAAGGGTTATACAGCGGTTAAAAAATGCTCAAAGTTTGTTTGTCTGCCTGTCTGTTCAGCCCAA